TCAAAAGAAAATTCCTTTGTTGAAGAATTTAAAGGAGGTAATGAACGTCGATGTTTGTATTTAATGAAATGTTGAGGTGGAGTATTTAGATGAAATTTTGTTTGGAAATTAAGGCGATTAGACTGAAAAATGAAGGGAAAAAGTAATGGAATTTAAAGGAAAATTAATTAATTATAATTAATTAGAGACAATTTACTGGACATTCTTACATTATAAGTGAAAATAATTAATAAAGAATTGAGGAAAAAATTGAAAAAGAGTACAAAATGTGAGGGGGTTAATTATTATTACGTCGTTAGAAGCAGTGAATGGAAGCTCGTACTAAAATCCGTACTCGTACCTGTGTACGAAGTACGAATACGAGCAAATCTCAAAATTCCAACCACTGGTTAGAATTAAGAGTGACAAGGAAACTGATGATTATTTCAATTATAGTCTAAAAATATCCAAATCGAGTAAATTGCCTATTGTTAATAGGAAAGAAAGAAAAAAAAATTTCGTGTCCGAATAAACAAGAATATTCGAAAGATATACGGAGATTTATAAATTAGAAAACAAATAAACCTTCAGGTTATTTTTTAAAATATTTACTAAACTAAACAACAAATCTTCTTTTCCCTTTGTCTTTGGGAAGAATAAAAGTTTTAGTTATTCTGTTTTCCACATTTGTTTTTATTTAATTCTGATTTTCTTGCAAGAAAATAAAGAAAAATAAATTATTTTATATATTTTTGGCAAATACCAAAAAAATAATTAAATATAATTTTTTGGCAAACAAACCCAGCGGGATTGATATATTCCCCCTCCTTCCCTTCCTTCTAACGGCATTGGGAACTTTTGAAAGGGAAAATTATTTTTCTTTTTTTGTTGGCCTCTTTCTTCTTCTTCTTCCGTTTTTTCTTCCTTATTTTTATTACCAAAATTTTGTTGTCGTAAATTTCCTTCTGGCATTGTCTTTTTTGTTGTTTGCCTTCTCTAAAGGAGAATGATTTAGTATATTTTTGATTTTATTTAAATATTTTGCCTTTATTGTGACAAGCATTTCCTTCCGATTTACACATTTATGTGCTAATTTTGTTACAATATTTAAATGATCTAGTCCGTGTAAAGTCTTTCCATCTATTGCCAAAAGCTCGTCATCATTCTGTTAAAAAATAATTTTAAAGAAAAAATTGGATTCAAAGAATCGTCCTCAATAAAATGCCGAAGCAAAAGGAAACCCATGGAAATGGGGGATTTAACTTATTCTCTCAAGTCAGAGTCCAACTCAAAGTCAGAATTGTTGCACCATCCCTCAAACTGAAAGAATCTCCCACCAGTTAGTGTTTCCCTCAAAATACTCATCCATCAAATAATAAACAGATTTTTATCCTCTCAAAAACATTTTATCTTTACTTTTAATCCCATCCGATCAGCAACACCGCCAGGGATGACAATCAAACGAGAAGGCTTCTCTCCTTGAATGCCAAACCCAATACCAGGCATTGGTGTACTTTCTTTTTCATTTTCTGATAAATAATTTTCTGTTTGAAGAAGAATTGTGATAATATTTGAATTATATTTTAATTTAGATGAAGACATTTCTGAATATTTTTAAAAAAACTTTAATAAAAATGGAAAATGAGGGAAAATGTGGGGGGATATTTTAATAAGAGAACTTGAACAAAAAAATTAAGGACGGCAACTCTTTGGAGGCGGTAATATTTGTAGAGACACTATATGCTATTTTAAAGTAGAGGTACACTGCGTTCCAAAAGTATATGCACCCCTAGTTTTTTGATTTTTTATACATTTTTCTTAGTTATTTTGATTAGACTTTTTGTCTATATATTCTTCCAGATAAATGTGTATGTTTAAACAAAAAAATAAAAATTTCCCCCATCTCGTTCCATTTTTATAAACATTTATACAAATATTCACTGTTCCAAAAGTATATGCACCCCCCTCAAAAATTTTTATTTAGCAATCAAAAAATCCAAAAAAATTTCTCCAAAGATATCCATAAATATAGATAAGAAATACAAAAGAAATGAAGTTCTGATGTACTTCCATCATCAAGATCTTGAAACCCGAAAATCAACGGAAAACAGGGGGTAGACGTCTTTAAAAAATATTTTCGACCCCTTACAGGTAAAATAAAAATTTAATTTTAGGCTTATTTGAAAGCCCTTGAAATTTGCTACAAGATAGCATTAATTTTATTTTCTCAAAAAAATTAACCTTTAAGACAAAATGTGTTAAACTTTCAGGTCGTATAAATCACTCAAACGCCCCCCAAAAAGTGATGAAAATGTACCCTATAAACTTAAATCATTATTTCTCAAAGATGAATTTTTTCTGGATTATGATTTGAAAGCTATCTTGTAGCAAATTTCAAGGGCTTTCAAATAAGCCTAAAATTAAATTTTTATTTTACCTGTAAGGGGTCGAAAATATTTTTTAAAGACGTCTACCCCCTGTTTTCCGTTGATTTTCGGGTTTCAAGATCTTGATGATGGAAGTACATCAGAACTTCATTTCTTTTGTATTTCTTATCTATATTTATGGATATCTTTGGAGAAATTTTTTTGGATTTTTTGATTGCTAAATAAAAATTTTTGAGGGGGGTGCATATACTTTTGGAACAGTGAATATTTGTATAAATGTTTATAAAAATGGAACGAGATGGGGGAAATTTTTATTTTTTTGTTTAAACATACACATTTATCTGGAAGAATATATAGACAAAAAGTCTAATCAAAATAACTAAGAAAAATGTATAAAAAATCAAAAAACTAGGGGTGCATATACTTTTGGAACGCAGTGTATATTTAATGAATGAATGAATAAAAAGAGAAAAGAATTAAAAGTGTCCACAAATGAATTACATTTTTTTGGATTACCTTTTGATATATTTTTCTTATATAAAAATATTTTTGTTTGTACAAAAATAAGTATGGGAATTTTAATAATTGTTTGGTGGATCAGAAAAGTGGTTGACCAAACATTGCCGAAATGAATGGGAAGAAAATAAGTTTATTTTTTACTTGTTTTTAGTGGCAATTTTTAAAGTTTTTTTGAAGGTTATTTTTAATCTTTTCTGGTATTTTTTGAATTTGTATGTATTTTGTATATTTAATTATTCTCAAGGAAAAGGGAAGGAAAGATTTTTTAAACAAAAAACAGAATTTTAAGGTGTCTAAATTTTTTAGAGATATACCTCTTCCGGGAACTTAACCTTTTATGGAAATCCCCTCTCCCTAATTAAAAAATAACTTTTAATATAATATACATATTATATAAAATAGGGAGTATATTTATTCATTTATTTATACTTTAAGTACAAAATAAAATATACTAATGTGCAATTTTTGAAAAGGCGGAGTCTGTTCAAATTATTCTCACGTCTAGACAATTTTGGAAGCATAAATGTTTGATTATTTAGCAATAGTGTATATTCCTTCTGCTTATTTTTGGCAAAATTTACGATCCTTTTGATAGGGAAAAATTTGAAAGAGTACATAAACATACACTCAAATGTTTATTTGACATGTTATGGCCTATAATGATGACCTCTTACAAAAGTGTATTAATTACTCACAAATATATGTTAACCAGAAACAAACTTGTAAAAGTAATAATTTCCCAGAAAAATTTTGAATATGGCAAAATAAACAAGAAAAAAATATTTTTTAAAATATATTTAAAAATTTAAGGGATCATCAAATGAATTAACCTAAAATTCTAATAATACGCGAAAATATGAAGTACCCCCCCCCCTCTGTCTCCTATGAACTGTTAGTAGATGACACAATTATATTATTACCTATGATTAACCTTATCTATATTTTAACGAAAATAACGTAGAAGTAAATAAAAAATTTAATGGATAAAATTTTAAATTATTAAACAAAAAATGGCCTGTGTAAAAAATTTAAAAAAAATAAGTTTGTGAATAAATGCGAAAAGTCTATAAATTTTATATAAAATATTTTTGTTGAAATTATTATAATTAAAGAAATTATTTTTGATATTTGAAAAAACAATAAAATAATAGTTGAGTAATTGTCTATTTTAAGAAAGTGAAGGCGGAAAAGAAAATTAAAAGTCGCAAAAGAAAAACAAGAAGTGGAAAAACTGTATATAAAAAGCAAATCAAAATAAAAGGAATATAAATAGGTATATGCCAAAAATACATAATTTAATTTTTAAAAATTTATTAAATATTAAAAAAATAATTTGTTCAATTTAAGCTTTTGTTTTCATAAAATATGTATCCTTAAGGGTCTGACTTTTAAATAGTTTCAATATGCTTTGTGAATACAGGTCTGTGTTTGCGCAAAAATCTTAATTCGCGTAAGCTTTTTAGTACTCCCTTGATTTGTCAGTTTTAAGTTAACTAATATTTAGATCCAAACACAACTGACAAGTGAGAACGTTTATGATTTAAAATTAACAAGGGAACCTTTTAAATTACAAAAGTTTAATTTAAAAGTCAGCATCCCAATTTAAGACATTCTCCATCCAAGGCAAAGATTACAAAAATATTTTTAAAAATTTTGATTTTTACCAAATCACAAAGAATGGAGAACGAGTCTGCACTTTTTGTTTAAATGTGTTGTGCCATGATTTTGGATTCTCATATTCGTCTTCGGTAGTAGTCATGGCTTCTGATGCAATTGCAGCTTCGTTGACCGGAACGCTTGACGAAGTACCAGCAACTAAATAATAAAAATTTTATTAAAAATAGAATGTTAAATCTGCTAGATTAATTTTTATTTTTAAATTTATTTTAAACAATTTTGATTAGTGACCGGCGCCAGACCGGACTCCGGCTGGATTTTCCAGAGTCCGGGTCCCAAATCCTGGTTTTTTGAAATTTCCGGACTAAATCCGGAGCGGATTAATCCCGAAAAAATCCGGTCCGGCATGACTGTTAAATCCAAAATTCTTTCCGGGCCCGGAAAAATAATTGTGTCGGTCATTAATTTTGATATTAATTATAGTAATACTCTAAATCCTCAAAACTGATTTATGAAAAATCCTCCATTCTCAAAAAAACTTTGAAACTTGCCATTATCCTGTATGCGCGGTTGTTCTGCTAAACTTTTTCCACTTGTTGATTGGTTTAAATTAGTCGTTGAAGGTGTAAGCTCAGTTGTCGTTGTAATTTGGCTGTTGCTGCTTTTGATATTTTTTACAAGTTTTCGGAATTTACGAAGTTTCTTTCGTTTAATTTCGATCATATATTGTGGAGTCATCTTTAAAAGAAAAATAAATTTATTTAAAATTAATTTTTATTTTACCTGAACAAGTTGAGCAGGCGATTTTCTAGCACGTAAGGCTTCTCGTAAATTAAACATTTGACCACGAATTACAGATAATTGCTTGGCAAATGTTTTCTTGTCGAAGCCTTTGTCTGCCTAAAGAAAAGTTTTTTAGAAATTATTTTACTATCTAAAAACCTCAAATATTTTTCGAAGATCATTACCCAATTCACGCACAAAATCTGTATTGTCTACCAAAGGTAATACTTTACTGACTATTTCATCACTAAAAGGACGTTGAGCAATTGAAAGGCCAACCCATTGGTAAGGATCTGAAATTGTTAATAACAAGAAAAGTTTTTTTATTTACATGCTCTCCACTGATCTGGATGTTTAAACGGAAAAGCAAGTCCATTGTCTATAGCAGCAATTTTGGCATTAGGCATAAGTACGCTCTCCCAACCTGCACTGTCGTTTAGAGTTTCATCAACTAAAATAGTTTAAAATAAAAAATAACTGAAATACATTGTAATATTGAATTTGAAAAGCATTTTATTATTCTCCTCAGACCTCAATAATTTTAAAAGTCAAATACCTCCGTCTATTTCCTCATTGTCTTCATGAAGATCGATTAATTTAGCATCATCCTGAGAATTAATTTCCTCGTTCAGTCGCATTGCAGTTCCCGGAGCAGTCCCATCCCTCGGCTTTGCTAGCAATCCAGAGGTGATATCACCAACCTTCCCTTCTACAGTCACTGGCTCATATTTAATTAACCAATTATCATTTCCACGATCAGTATTTCGAATCAAATAGTCAAGAATAACCATTTTTTCAAATTCCAATTGAAATTCAGACATTACAGAAGTCGGCGGAGCCATTTCAGGGAAAAGTTCCCATTGTCGTAACCAATATGCAGCGTCTTGATAGCCATTTACAAAAAGCTGGAAACTTCCACGCTGACAAAGAGAAATATTATTTTAGATTACAAGATAGAAAGCATTCATGTATTTGTAAAATACCTTTGGAGGTAATCCAATACGGCGAAAATGTCTACCAATATCAGGATAACGATCACGGATTCGTTCCTTTGTGCGAGTCATAGCTCGATCAACACGGCTATAATTAAATGTTGGAGCTGCAAGAGAAACAACTGCTGTCTTTGGTACAACATTCAGACCGAGCTTTTGATCAACCAAAGACGCACCAGCTTCAGATAAATATCCCTAAAATATAAAAAAGTTACACATAATTTAGTTATTAAACTTGATTTGGTACAAGACAAGAACGTCCAAAACAGCAAGGAAAAAACAACTTATGTAGCCACTTGATCCACTTTGGATTTAAGGACCCATAAGGTTCTTCATTCTTCGGTTTGAAGACAGCAATTTTTTCCTAAATTTTCAGATGATTTCAAATCTAAAAAAGTAAAAAACCCTTTTCAAATTCTTAACAAAATAAGATCCAGAAGAGCCTTGAGCAATTCGTTCAGGGTAAATTTCATGGTTTATAGCACGGATAGCCTCAGCAAGATTATCTGCAAAATCTGTGCCTATTGTAGTTCCATATTGCTCGTTACCTTTAAAAAAAGAAAATTAAGATCAATTTTAGAGATCTTACACATTCGTGAAATTTCCTCATCAGAATGTTGCGAATCCAAAGTATTTACCCGTTCTGAACGAATACCAGCTTCATCAGGTGAACTCATTTCTCGGCTTGTAGGACTTCTTTCAGGGAGTAGAGGGGTACGCTCTTCTTTCTATAAACAAAAATAAACAATTTAATTAGAAATTATCACACCTTATAATTTCCACTTTTAATGAAAACTTGAGTTTCGTCGTCTCCGGACTCGGCGTTAAAATCTTAAATTGGAAAGTCAACGATGAAAAAATAATTATGCAACCTGTTTCAAGGCGTAAAGTTGTATTAACAGAATCAGATGTTGAATTTTCTTGCATAGAAGGGACGCGGGTATAGGTAACCGCGTCAGAGAATAATCGCAGTTTGGCAATTTTAACAACTTCCTAAATCCATATAAAATTAAACAAAATTTATATAAAAATATAATGCATATACATATGTAAATGCAAATGGATTTTAAAAATATAAAAACTGTTCGGAAATTTATTATATTATCGCATGTAGTAAGTATTTACTAAAATTCATAATTAAAACAACCAATAAAATTATGTAGGAAAATACTATAAAACAAAAACAAGTAAGTCTTGAAAGACTAGCAAAATAGACCGGATTTCTCAAAGGTTTCGATTTGGGAAGTTTTGTGGTCCGAAAACTATTACTATAAACCCCTGATGTGAACATTTGATACATCATTAAGGTAAAAAAATTGGAATCAGATTAAGTATACAAACTTGCCAAATTGGAACCCGAAAAATCCTTGCCCGCAAATATAGATAGATAAATAATTCAAAAATAAATCTTAAGCCTTAAACTTATTAAGTTTAGCCGGAATTCCATTTTTAGTGAGCATGAGATCCTTTCTTGACTTTTTCACATCATGACCAGAATTTAGTTGCGAAGACGACCTCTTTTAATTTAATTTATTGAGTAAACCACAAAGTACATAAAAAAGTACAACCCGAAAAATCCTTGCCCGCAAATATAATCCTTGCCCGCAATTATTGTTAGAATTTTGTTGATTAACACTGGTTGACATCTTTTCTAAGGGGAAGGAACTAAAAATGATTTTAAACCCCTTATCCAAAATAAAACTAACAAAACCTTTTATTAACATTCTTGTCAATTTTTTTCCTTTTTTCTTTAAGTTGAACTTTCTGTTCATCCCTTGTTTGTCTTATTGACATTTCCATTCTTCGCTTTGCTTCCGCAATTATTTTTTTAGTATTTTCGTGATGCTTTTGCTCCAATTCTTGAAGAATTTGATTTTGCCTTGCAAGTCTATTACATAGCGGTCGAAAAAAACGGGGAGGTTCTGGCCTTGGCAAAAATTCATTCGTCCATTTATTGACAATTTGTGGATCTGAGATGTTTTTGCCGTCAGAAATCAATGGATGCGACGTTGTCAATACTTCAGATTTTGTATGATCACCATTAGACGTTGTTGGCTTCTCCCTGCTTTCCTTAACTTTTATAAATGTAATTTTAAATACTTTCTTAAAGGACAGATGCATAGTAAAAGTACTACACTTCAATAACGAACATTAAAGGCAAAAAATAAATTTAACAACCTTTACACTTGTTGATGGAGAAGGCACAAGTTGATGACGTACAACAGACATTGAACAACAAAGCATAAATAAATTTATAACCCGGATAGAAACAATCACTAAAAAATTAAAATACCTATAAGTAAAAGTTTAAATTTTTGCTGCCTAATTTTTAATAAAATTAAATTTTTAGGCGCAAGCAAGAATCATACGGTTTACTCGTTTCAGTAAAATTGTTAGAATATATCAAAGTATATATTCACAAAGCAAATAAAATAGCTTAATTTTCAGGATTTTTAATTAAAAGTAAAAAGCGTAAATCAACGCAAAATTAACAGACAAGAGAAAGAGCGAGAAACATTTATGTAACAAGAATATATAAGAAAATTTTGAGGACGGACACAATTCAATAATCAAAGATAACCTCAAAAATATCGACAAAAATTTTTGACAATCTCCATTGAAAATAAAAAAGCAATTATACTTTGAGGTGGAGCGAAAATAGATTCTAACAATAAGATTTGTAAAACAAACGCAAAAAATCGTTGAAATTTTCTCAAAATTCGATTAGGTATATTATAGGGATAGTGATAATGGTGTGAAAAGGTATAATAATATCTATAAATAACAAACCATCATTGTTTCAAATCTCGTCGTCATCACTAACGTTCAGGTTTTCACTCATTTTTTGTGGAAACACAAACATAAATTTAGGACGCTAGAGACAATGACCAGATCTGAAGCAACGCTTGTTATAAATATCTCTTATCATACCTTTGTCAACTTATTTATTTCCACATAATAAAATGCTTATTGACTTGTATATACCTCACGAACTTTTCAAAAAATATACTTGGTATTAAACTTTTTCTGATTTAATCTCTCCAGATTTTGCATCTTTAATTTTTTCTTCTGAATCAGTTTTCTTCTCAGATTTTTCTTCATCTCGTTGCAATACCAACTTAAATAAATAACTTTAAATGAAAAAATGTAATAAAACTTTGTTGTCAATGAGATCGTCTAGAGCAATAACGGTTCGAGCAAGATTTCCCAAATATATACGCATTGCTTGATCATTACTCATTGAGTTGTGAGCGTCAACAAAGTCTGGCGAAAGAACATCAGGAAGCAAATTAAGAATTTCCTGAATAAAAAAGGATCAAACGACTTAAGTACAAGAGAGGCTAAAATACACAAATTTAATTCCATTTTAGAAAATGGAAATAGAAAATTGACACGTCGATTAAAGCTCAAATTTTAGGTCCAAGATTCAAAACAAATAAAATCTGGCTTCGTATTCAAACTCATGTCAGCATAGCCGATTACCTACTGGCAACCCTCTAACATGTCGAAAAAGCCCTTTTTTCTCTTTTATTCTGGGAAGATGTAAAAATGAGAAAAAGGGGGAATTTACCGAAAATTCCTAATTATATTAATCGGGATCGAACCAGAGGGACTATTGAGAATTTAAAAAAACATTTACAAAGAGTTACCTGGAAATGATAGATTATTGAATGATTTACAGGCAACTCCTTATTAACTACACGTTTTGCATAAAGTGCCATTTTTGCCAATTGGTGTTGAAATCCAACCAAGCCCAAAAATTGATTAGTAATTCTTTGTGAGAGAGTTCCGGCAGTTGAATTTTTAATGTCTCTTAAATTACTTAATTAAAAAAGAAAAAAATATTTTTAGAAAACCTTAACAAATGTTCAACCCCAACTTCTTCAGCCTCTTCAGCTCCAATCTCACAGGGAACATGTTCAAAAGTCTTTATTGGAGGAGATCCATCCTAAAAAGTATATTAAATTTAAAAAATTAATTATAATAAAACAGACATCATGAACTTCTTGTACTTCAACATAAGCATCTGTAGGAAGTCCCAAATTCATTTGTTCATGGCTAGCCTGACTAGCTTGGATTATTACAAGTATAGGATTAGGCACAAAACGTTTGATGACTTCGTTTATGAGAATATCATTCTTACACAGCTTCGGTCCAGTGTGGTACCAACCAACAATTTTCTCACGGGCAGCTACTTTGTAAAACATTCCAAACATATCTTCCAAATAATCAGCGTCCAAAAAGAACACATTTGAATCTTCAGCATCTTCGTCATAAGGAACTGAAAATTTAAAATTTTTGTCTAAACGATATTTTTTAATTTTTATATGCGTTCGCACTTCAAGTGTACTCGAACCATGAAAAATACATCTAAAAATAATCTTACCAAATCAAAAAATCTAAACAATCCTACAAAATCAAAATTGAAGAAAAAATTACGTTGAAGAAATCCTAACAAAAATTATATAAAAACAAATTTACCAGCAAAGGAATTAGAAGTGTCAATAGTTTTATCAGAACCCATGCTCCCTAATAAAACGCCAACAACTCTGCTAACTCTTTGCGTCTTACTGATTCGATTAAAATGGTCAACAACGCTCAAAAGTACCAAAGGGTGAACAACAACCTTAAAAAAAGTACAGAATAAAATAAAGAAAATAAAGAAAATAACCTTATTTACAGGAAGATTCGCCTGAACACTGCTTAAACAATGGCTAACTTTCAACTTTTCATTTTCTTTATTAGCATTGTCTTGACCAGGTAAAGGTACCATTTTTGCAAATTTAAATAATATTGATTCTACTAAAAAGTAATAAGAAAAATTTACAACGTGATATATTAAAATTATAAAAAACGTCACCAGCAATAGAAAAATTTGGTGAAAAAACTAACGAGCAAAAGCGAAAAGTTAAAAAATCATCGTTTATTTATTTAAATTTTGGCGTTATGTATTTATTTGGATATTATGTCATTTTACAATAATTCAGAAAGGACCATTCATTTTTGATATTGGAGAGAATAAAGTGAATTTATTAAAATTTTGATTTTATCTTTATTAAAATTTGTATTAAAATTAGGGTTGCCAAAATGACCCGACTCGGATCAAGAGATAGAGTCGGGCCTAGATGTTTGGCCAGAAAAAGACTCGTACAGGCCCGACTCGATAAAAACAAGCCCGAAAAAATGCCTCGACCGTCTGCCCGACTCGAAAACGGCAACCCTAATTATAATTTCAATCAGAAGAAATTATTACAATATTTTTCTTGGAATAATTTTAAAATTTAAAAAACAATTTTAAACACATTACAGGAAAAGAAAGGGGGAAGTATTTTAAAGCACACACCTCAACAAAACAAAGAGTTTCGGAATAATTTATTTTTTTTTACAATTTTTAAATTAATATAGGTCTTCTCTATTAGCGTCAAAAGTTGAAAAAAAATTGTGCAATTAATTACACAAAATTAAAAAAAGTTTTGTAATATACGCCCCACTCTCAGTTGCGCAGCTCTTTTCAATTTTTATTATAAAATTAAATGAAATAGGTTTATATATTTTTCCGCTTTTTACTACCAACTTTATAAAATAGTTAATTTATATAAAAAATGAATTCCCCTTTTTCTTTATCTTTTGTACTTTTATTACTCCAAATATTTTATTTTATCCTTGTTTTTGGAATGACATCTAAATCCGTTGATATTTTGTTTGAATTTAAATGTGATGAAAATTGTTATAAATTACTTGTGAGAGATTATCACATATTATCACCACAAATGATTCTCCAATTAAGGTTGTATTTTATTAAATATTCTTTTGCTTGCTCTTGTTCTTCTATTATATCCTCATCCTTTGTTCCAAGGGTTTGGAATGAGATTCCTCGTGGCGTTATACACAAAAAAATAATACAAAATTTTTTAAATTTCTCCACAGTTTGTGTATATGCCCTCATTTTCTTTCTTCAAAAAATAATATAAAAATGTGTGATTGTAAAACTGGCATTTGGGAAGTACCAACAAATCAACAAATATTTCCCATAAATTTTGGCCGCTCTTTCCCATTTGAGGTAATTAAATGATTACCCATATTTAAAAAATATTTGTATTTGCAAGGGCAATTCTTCTGTCGATTTTGCCTATCTCAGATTGTCAAAATTTGAGAACAACATGCCTCTAACATTTCCGGAATATCAGAAAATAGATTATAATATTAATTTTGAAAATACTGGTAGTTTGATTTTGAATGTTTCAAGAAACATAATCAGGCGAGTGGAAGGGAAGGAATATAGTAGTTTTAAGTAGACCTGATCATGGATACGGATATGGATACAGGTAATACAAAATGCCTGCGGATATCCGCCTGTATCCGTCTGTATCCGCCGTAAATATCCGGATACGGATACCAAAATCAGTATCCGTGTCCAGGTTTGGTTTTAAGGTGTTTTATATTAGTAGCTAATAATGAATTCAATTTAATAAAAATTTTTGAAATTTTTTGTAAGCGAGACAATTTATAATATTATTTTAAAATAAATTTCAAAATTTTTATTTAGCATTCCCTATTCAATTCATCTTAATCCAACAAAATTGTTAAATAAACGTTCAATAAGATACTACTATACAAAAGTAAAGAAATGGAATTGGTTTAAAAATACATGGAAACCCAAAAAAACAACGGGATTTAAATTATTTGCTGATAAAATTAAGCCGATATCCAGTCAAGCAAGAGCAAGTCCTTTAGCTATTTTACCTCCAAATCTTGGACCTCCATTATGTCAAATGATTACAAAAATGGGCTGGGATGTAAGTAATAATTGAAATTTTAAAAATATTTTTATTTTAAAGGCAAACCAAATAAGGAGATATATAATGGAGGATGCAGCAATTAAACGTATTCATCCACAACAATTTGATGTTGCACATTTTAAAAGAGCGGTACTTTAATTTATTAAATTTATTTAGTAGTAGTACCACAAACTGCCAGCCAAATTTTGCTAGGTTATAATATTTTGATCTTGTTTTAATACAAATGAATTCAATAGCATTCGAAGCCCTCGAAAAGCTATATTTTTAATAGGATAAATCAAGTCTTATCACCCATTGAAAAAGTTATAACCCTATCATTTATTTAAAATTCTTATTTCCCTTTTTTACTCAAAATTTTTTATTTCTTAATTAAAGCTGGGTTCAATTTTTATTTTCAGCATTTATTTTTAGAAATAATTAAATTTAAAATTAATTTACAAAAAATTTAATTTTTAATCTCTTTATTTTCAACATTTTATTTTTTATAGAAAAACTGGCAGATTGCCTTAACCGGGAGCCAATTAATTTTAATATCCCGCTGTTTCATTTTAATATAATTTATTCATTTATTTTCTAAATTTAGAGATTTTTAATTTTTAAACTTTTTTTGGGCATTATTTTAATTATTAATTTCCTTTTCAGGTTATTGAAGCACACAATCGCTATAGAAGATTACATGGGACTAATGATTTATCACAAGATGGGGCTTGCGAAATTGCTGCCAAACGATGGGCTGACTCCGTTTCGAGACAATCTGCTTGTCTAACACATGAACCTCAACAAAGGTAAGTAAAGGATGAAAGGCTTAAAAACTGACATAAGCCAAGGAATTCTTAAAAATAAAACAAGAATGTGTGCCTGAATTCATTGACTGTACTCTAAAATTTCTAAAATATTTCTTTTGCAGATTTGGTGAAAGTCTATTCTTCTACTCAACATTACAACCTTTAATTTCTGACCCCGAAACAATGGCTGAAGCAACTGTTAGAACATTTTATATAGAAGGAAGGGATTATAGACGTTCAGCTCGTTGGGTTGCTTCAAGACACGGACATTTTACCCAAATGCTTTGGAGGGACACAAATCGAATTGGAATTGGTGTTTCAATAATTCCTCAGCCTGCAGGATGGGGTTGTATGCCTCCTGGAAGAGGACAAGCCTGGATATTTTATGTTGTTTTGAGGTATGATCCTCCAGGAAATAGAGTAATTAGTGAAAGAAGTTTTGATGAAAACGTTTTGCCGGTAGAAAATAAGGATATACAAGCTGTGCAGTGTTTAGCCACATAAGTATAGATATTAGGAATTAATAATTTAATTATTTTGAATGTTCTAATAGAAGGATAATTTTTCGAAATAAAATCTCTTTATTTCCAAAATCTCTCCCGGAATTTAGCCATAATTTAGTCATAAATCTAAAAATTTTAGCTTTATTGCTTTGTATAATAATTTAATTATTTCTTCTTCATCTTTATTAGAACAAAATAATAGGATTTTAATCTAAATAAACATTCTTTTCGCTAAATTTTATTTGTATACTATGTTAAAATATTTTATTTTTAATTTTTACTTTTTATCATTCTTTCAATTTTTATCAATTTTTATTTTTTATCACCAATAAAATAAAAATATACATTTTGTATTGTTTAAAAAACAAGGTTCTACATTTTTTGAGTACACTTAAATTTTATTTCTTAACAAAGGACCCATTTTCATTGCAGACAGTCATGTGCATAAATAAATAAAAGTGTATGAATATTATGAAAATTAATTATTAATTAATTAATTAAACTTAAATTAAATTGTCAAAATTAAACTTTTATTTTAAAATCAGAGAGAAGATTTATTTTTGTTATTTTCTCTTTTTTCTAAACCCTTTTTTGAGTGATAATGATTGTACTTAAATAATGTAGGTACTTAAAAATGATTGATAAAATAAAAATAAAAGATAACAATCTCAGAACACATTAAAAATTTTTTTGTTAGGAATATTTTAAAGAAAATTAAAAGGGGTTTTCTCAATAAAAAAATGTTTTATTTTAGGAAATTAATTATAAGGAAAATATGTATATTCTTCTATTTTTGTGTAGATTTTTGTAAATTAGAATGTTTTAAAATTTAACAGTTGGTTGATTTAAATTAAGAGGAAAGAAAAGATTAAATGGAAGGAAAAATTGAAATTTGGTTTTTAATTTTGATGAGTTTTGGACGATTATTTTAAAATTGAACTGAAGAAAATTGTGTGGAATATTCCTCTGAACGAGAAAAGGCACAACGGGAACGAGGGAATTTTTCGAAAGATAATTGTTAAAGGATTGATGAATGAGCAAAAACATGGCAGTGCTTAATGAGATGTTTTAATTTGTAAAAGTCCTTCCAATCCTTGTTTATACATTTTTTAAACATTCACGGATATGCATATAAACATTTCTTAAATATTTTACTAAAAATTTATGACTTAATTTTTTTCTAAAAATGTTACCATGACAACTAAAAATAAAAATCTTGATTTCTTTAAAGAAGAATGACTGACATAAAATAAAAAATTAAAAAATATTTAAAAAATGCTTTTTTTATTGTTAGCCCTTCCTTTGGATTTGTTATTTAATGCAGCCAATTCTCTTCTTTATTATGATAATAATGTACAACTTATGCTTATTTTGTATGTTTTAAGGAATTTAATAATAATTTAAAAAATACGAAGATATGTAGAATGGAATTTTAAGGGTTTATTAATTTTCTTGAAGTTTAGTGAATAAATTTTAAATTTTCGTTTTTTCAGACTTCAAGACACACTCCAAGTGCTAGCCATTCTTGGATTAGCCATTCGCTTTTCCTCAACTTTTGTATTCCAAGCAGGTCTTATTGGACATTTATTGCGTAGATTTAGTTGTTCTATAATTGTTGCATTCCTTTATTTGGCCTTATCTATAATTTACCATTTTTTCTCTTTAAAAGAAAATTGGTTATCTAAAGAAAATACTAAAGATAAAGAATTCTTTGATTGGAAAACACCAAAAACATTTTTGTTTTTATTGCAAAGGACGGGTAAATAATTTTTGACAAGAAAAAAGAATCTTTCAATTTAGTAGCAATATTCTACTACTTTTTCTATAAAAAGACTGTACTGATGCTTAGCGATCCAAAATATCATAGCGAATCTGAATGGTTGTTAAGTAAGATTGGAAAACGTATTGTGGTTAACTGATTGATGAAAATACTTTAATTTTTTAAAAGTTAAAATTTAAACGTAATAATCCATCGAATTAATTATTTTTCTTTTCTCAATTAAGATATAATTTGAACAAGATGAAGCAAAAAATATTATAACGAAAATTTTTTTCATATTTTAATTTTTTCACATTTCACTGTTAGAATATTTCTCTAGCATTTTAATTAAAAATGTATACCGTATTTGCTAAAATAATTACCCAAGGTAATTATTGTTTCAACCTCTCGCTGGAGGGGGTAATAAAAGGGACGGGGTAATTATTTGAGAAAGGGACATTATTTCAGCATTTACGGCATGTTTAGGGATTTTATTGTTCCGATGGTCGAAAATCGGGAATTCTCGACATTTTTTGGGTTGGATATCTCGATTCTAGAATTTTCTAAAAATATTTAGATCTCTGTATTGTTTTATTCCTTTTTTGCACTTAAATTTTTTAGATTGCTCATTTTCACGGCGTTCTCTATGTCAGTACTTTGTGCTCTTTTAGCCGGCTGTCCGACTTCACAAAATTATATCCTTTTTCAATGCTTTTTCTCTAACATCCATTTGACTTATTTTTGAAAGAATGTTACCAGATGCAGCCTAGCACTCAGACTAGGTTTCCTCACATTTTGCAATTCATTCTTTTTTTTATGAAAGCAAAGAACGATTTTATAACTCAAAAAAGGAAATTTATTGTTATTCCATTTCTAATAAAATTTTATTTATAGCAGCTTAAAATCAAGAAACACGCCCCCATTCAGAAAACAATAAAGTAAATGACCCTTAAAAAAAAATTTAAAAACTCCTATTTATTTATTCTTTAATTTTGTTATTTTTTAACATGAATATTTGTGTATTTATTTAAAATATATTTTAAACTTTGCTTTCACGTTAATCGATTAACGTAGGAACTAAAAAACGTTAATTTTCACGTTAATTTTTAAACAAATGTATTTTCATTTCTATTACAAATTTGATACATTATTTCTACTAGTGTGCGGCAATTGATATTTTCATTATCGGTAATCCCTAGTAAATACTGATACTTAAGAAAATTTCTGTCTTCGAAATGAAGCAGTTCAGCTGGGTCCGCACGGTTGAGGATATCGAGGAATATGGTGGGATTAAGAGGGATTAAGGTTGATTAACAGTGCTTATTAAGAAGGTCTCAAGTCAAATAATACCAAGGCCGAACACTACTTTCTAATTAAATTTTTACCAGAATATAATTTCTATATAAATTCTTATTACCTGCAAAAGGCATTTTTCCAGCATTCTACCCCTCTTTCCTAATTGTTGAACATAATTTAATTTTCTTTACATTATGGTTTTGAGTGCGGTTTATTTATGGGATTGGCATAGTTGAAATCCAAAATGTTATATAACGAGAATGGAATCAGATTTGAAAATATATTCTGTGCTACGCTTTTCGTTACTTTGGCATTTTGTCTTTAAAAGATTCAAAGTTCTTTATCGTATTTTTTGTTATCAAAAACTTTCTTAAATATCCGTTAATTTTTAGAATACGTGATTGTTATATAAATAATTTTTTATTTCAAAACATGTCTGAAAATGGTATTTTTGTGCCTGTCGCGCCGATAGAGTCAACGCCACAAAATAAGGTTACCATTGTTGGAGTTGGTCAAGTTGGAATGGCTTGTGCTTATTCAATTCTTCAGCAGGTACTTTCTAAAATCCTCAAGTTTTAATAAATGATTTTATCACAGAACATTGCTACCGAGATTTGTCTCACGGATGTTTTGGCTGATAAATTGCAAGGAGAAATGATGGATTTGCAACATGGATTGGCATTTACCCATAACACTTGTATTGTGAATGCGAGCACCGGTATCTTCTTTTGCCTCGTTTGACTCTCATTTTAAATTCTCTCAGACTATGCCAAAACTGCTGGATCAAAAATTTGCGTTATTACTGCTGGATGTCGTCAACGTGAGGGAGAGTCTCGTCTCAGTCTTATTGAGCGCAATGTTGTTATCTTTAAGGGAATTGTCCCGCAATTAGTTCGTCATTCACCTAATACTGTGTTTTTGGTTGTATCAAATCCTGGTTTTTTAAAATTAATTTTAATCTTTAATTTTTATTTCAAGTGGATATTCTGACTTATGTGACTTGGAAATTGTCCGGACTGCCAAAGGAACGTGTTTTTGGATCTGGGACTAATTTGGATTCTGCTCGTTTTCGTTTCCTGCTTTCTGAGCGTCTGAACATTTCTCCTTGCAATTGTCATGCTTTTATTATTGGAGAACATGGAGACTCGAGTGGTGAGTTCTAGTACATCAAGTACTTACATTAGGACTATTTTTAATTTTTCTGTTTCTAAAATATTCCTATTTTCGAGAAAAATTTTTTTAGTGGCGGTTTGGAGTGGTGTCAATGTAGCGGGTGTCAACCTCTCTGCTCATGATCTCACTACTGGCGCTTCAAATTCTAACGGAAAAAATGATGATGGAAAATTGGAAGAGGAGATTCATAAAAAGGTCGTACAAAGTGCTTATGAGATTATTCGTTTGAAAGGATATACGAGGTTTTGTTTCTGAAAATATTCCAGAAATTTATTAAAAATATTGGTACTTATGAAGATGGAGGTGCCCTTTCTGCGGACTTTTTTTGCGGACTTTTCTTCCCTTCTTTTAAATGTTTTACTTGTAGCAACTAACTGTCAACGCCACTCCCCCATTATTCTTCTTACCTAAGATTGTACATAAAGGTCAGATTTTCTTCTTCCTCTCCTTCCTCTATTTGCCCTGTGGCAAATTCAAACGAGACATTGATGAAGAGAAGATTAGTTTTTATAGTCATACACTTATTTTTTTGCCTTTGGAAGACACGCCAATCAAAAAAGAATTCAATAAAATTGATTTGGTGTATAACATTATGAATTTGTGTGTAAAAACATTACATTCTTACTTCTATTTTAAAATATTGAACAACTGAGAAAATAAATTGAACTCAGTATTGAACAACTCAATTAATTTTAATCTTCTCTTTATCAACAATATCTCTTATTTGAATATGCCAAGCTCAATCAGAGGAAAGGAAATCTGACCATTTTGTACAATCTTAGGTAATAAAAATAATGGGGGGGGGGCAAGGTTTGAAATTACCCGCATTTCTGTTCCACAATAACATATTCTTTTTTTTATGAAGTATTCCGAGATCAGTGATCCATTGTCTAAATTCATCATCGGGTAATTGAAAATTTAGTTAAAGTCAAATTTTTTATTGATTGTAACATTTTTACGCTTATATATTCAAATTAATCGTGAACACATATTTTTCAAATTGGCATAAAAAATAATCCTTTGACAGTTAATTGCTACGAGCAAAACTTGCTGAAAGCAAAACAACCAAAACATTTAGAAAGAAAGGAAGAAAAGTCCGCAAAAAAAAAGTCCGCAGAAAGGGCACCTCCATCTTCATAAGTACCAAAATATTTTTTTAGTTGGGCAATTGGACTTTCTGTTGCTTCTATTGTACAAGGTGTGATGCGTAATAGCCGTAATGTTTTTGCGTTGACTGTGGATATTAAGGTATAAAAATTAGATTTACGTTTTTTTGGAAAGGGATAGAGGTGTAGGAAATGGTCCTATAATTTCGGGACTCCTAATTAATTAATACAACGTTTAATAATTTATTTATTTCGCAATGAAAACTACAATTAATTTAACAAGGGAAAAAGCATAATATTTTTATAATAAAAGGGACAGATTGTGATCCAAAGAGAGCTTAATGACCGCTGAGATAGATAAAACGGGGGAAAAGCCAGCTATTTTTATAGCGGTTGATTTACAGGAAAGTATTTTGTAATAAGTTTGTGTGAGAAAGTGAATAAAGAATTTCAGTGATTAACAGATTTCGTAATTTCATAAGTTTAATTAAATGAGTAATTCGCAGGATGCGACACTCCCGCGGCAAACATTGAGTGAATGGGTTGGATATTGAATAATGGGAGATAACAAAATATTGGCTGGATGTTGAATAAAGGAAGAAGATTAAGAATGGGCCAATTTGGATTTACATTGTTATAAGTAGTTGTAATGTGTGGCTTAAGAACTATGAGAGGGGGGACCATAAATTTAATTGAGTTTAATCTTGGAATGTGTGAAATATTTCTTTTCTTAATTTTCTTGTTCATCTGAAATTTGGACAATTGATTTTTTGTGATGTTTGAGGCTGGGAGATGTTCAACAAAACCAAAAGGAAGCACTTGAACACGGCTGCTTGTAAGCTTGATTGGAGGGCTGGGCGGAGGCGGGAGAGGATCCAAATTCTTTTTCAATTTCAAAGGAGCATGCGGTTGTGGTTTTGTAGACGGAATATTTTTTGATCGGTGTTTGTCGGTAGCAGCAGGCGGGGAAGTTAATAGATCATGGGAGTCCAATTTTGTTGTGGGGGGAGTCGGACTTGAAGATTTGTCTGATGGAACATCACCTGGGGGGCCTGAAGATTTATTTAGTCCTTTCCTGCTGCGGACATTATCTGTGGGAACTGAAATTTTTATTTCTAACCTATTATTTTCACTGGTCTTCAGTGGACCGTGTTTTTGATTTATTATATTTGCGGGAGTGGGAGTCGTGGGATCGGGGATTGGTAAGTGATTTTGATTGCTGTATAGTTGTGTGAAAGATTTAATTGAGTGATTGATTAATTGTGGCTCTTCGAGCAGTAAGGATTTATTTTCGCCTTTTTTATTTAAGTGGCCTGATTTGGTTTCGGTTTTTGAGGAATTATTAAAGGACTTGGCGGTATAAAATTTATCCGGCAATTTTATTAACGATAAAGGGATTGGAGCTATAGGTGGGGGTGTAATTGGCATTATTTGTGAGTGATTAATTGTATGTTGCTTGGGAATTTCTTGTGGGGATATAATGGTTTCTTCATTATAATCTTCATCTATACAGGGTTCATTAATTTGTGGATTAAATAATTTCGAGCAAAGTGCTCTGGGATGTAAGTTATTACAATGGGAACAA